TGCAAAATGAGCCCAACACAGCTGACACAGCCCTGAATGACGGATTAAAAGCATAGAAGAAGTTTATTAGCAGCAGCACATCTGATTTCTGACAGTTGGCAAGAAGTCTGACGCCGATGCCTGGTGCCATTTGTTAACACTAAAACGTATGCCCAGATGGCAACAAGTTTCTCCCCTCACCATTTCTCCAATTCTGCTTTCAGCGCGACCACCAAGGCTGCCGCAGTCACTTCACCGCGCCGCTCCCTCCCTGCCTGCCTGCCTCCCTCCCTGCCCCTCTGTCTGCAGCTCAACTTTTCCACAAACCCTCACAGATATCTCAAAGCCTCCATTCTCCGACCCTTTACAAATGACAACTTTTACACACTCACGTGCGAAGGCTTGGAGAGGAGCGCCTACCCAGAGACCGAGGCGCGAGGAGCGTCCGGCGGTTGCCCGCGTCCCAAAGTGGCCGGGCTCCTTCAGTGAGCCGCTGGTTCAAAGCCTCCCGCCCCCCGGCGCTGCGTTTGGAGGAGCAGAGGGACAGACGCGGGGTCCTGTGCTTGTGGAGGCCACAAGTCGAGATGTGTCTCGCTGCGCAGCCCGAGCGCATTTCAGGAAGGCGATAGAGACGAGGAGCTTCTCAGTTCAGTCCAGCCTGCCGCGCTGTGCCGCGGTAGCTCCGCCAGCTGTAGAGACTGCAGCCTGGAACGCCGGTGGGAGGAGGAGCGGCGAAAAGCGCAAAGAGTCATGGGAAATGTAGTAGCATGGAGGCGGCGCTCAGACAGATTTTGCTGAGTTCTAGTTGGGTTTTGGCCTCCCAGCCCCAATCCAATTTGATTCAGTTCACTTCAAATTTATTATTTAACTAAGAACAGCGTATTAAACAACGTGACATATTATAAACTGCTGTTTTGTACGTGTTATAGCAAAGGGTTAATTTGTAAACCCAGTCCTCGGTTGGGCCCTTTTGAAGACAGCAAAATTTAAATTAAAATATATTATAAAATATTAGCAAGAAAAGCATAAAAATGGATATTAGAGAAAATTAATTTTCCACAACAAAGCAGCCTTTGTGTCAAAAAAAAAAATCCAATCATTGTATGAAATTCTTATTTTTAAAAATGATTTTAATTGTTGGTTGCACTATTAATAAATTTGCGCCAAAAAGAATGTTTTAGAAGAACTAGAAGCTCCAAATCAATATGTCTTTTGTGCCAATAAAGACTTTACATGTTGTATTAAAAGTTATGGGATTATACAGGAATAGTCAATGAGTCAGAAAAGTTTTGAATGATCATTTTTGAATGATCTTTTTGTTTATCTTGCCATGTGTTCTTTTGGTGTTAGATCAGGACTTTGACTGGGACATTCCAGCACATGAAAATGCTTTGATCTATTGCACTGCAGATCTTACTATATGTTTAACGTCATTGCCCTGCTGAAAGGTCAACCTCCTTCCCCGAGCGTTTTGCAACCTCTAAGCTGGTTTTCTTCTAGGATTGCCCTGTAATTACCTCCATCCATCTTCCCTTTGACTTTGGCCAGCTTTCCTGCTCTCAGCTGTTTCTCTAACAAATACTTTCCTTGGCCTGCTCAGGTGATTGTTCAGTTGTCAGCTCACCTGGATGGCCCTGTGTTGAACAGTGATTGTATTTTGTGAACTGTTAAAAGTTGAGATCTTGCGTTGCTGCTTAACACTGTTTCAAAGCTCTTCACAAACTGTCTGCTGTGGTCGTCTTGATGGTAAATCCAGATTCAGATTTAAAGTTTTGAAAAAGTTTTCAAAACCATGCATCATTTTCATAATGCACCACTTTGTCTTTGTCTTTCATCTAAAATCCCAATAGAAACACAAAGCCGTATGGTTGCAACATGGCAAAATGTGATGAGGAGTATGTTTTAAAAAGCACTGATTTGCATAGATGTTCACTGTATGCATTTCAACCTTCTGACCTCTGTCTCAAACTTTTATCTATGAAAAGTAATAGGTAAACACTCCTTCATCCCTACAGCAATATCACTTTTTAATCCAGGACCAGCCAGGAGGAATTGTATCTGATTAGATCGTTGATGTCTTGATATCTATTTTGCTTATTGCACATATGTTGATGGTGTTGGTAGTAATTATTAGCTGACAACAATATACACTGTCAATAGCAGTATCTTGTCTGCACTGCTATTGATGTTGTGTGGGCACACTGTCTTGTCCCTCATTTTTAGTACTTTGATAAACCTGAACCCAAACATGAACCTGATTAACCAGCATTAGCTGGGTTGCGTTAAACTTTTCATTGTACAGGTTTTTGTTTTTTTTTTTTTTGAAAAATGGCATACCTGGAGGGTTTTCTGCAGATTTTATTTCAATCGCTTATACATGAGAGGTTGCCTCCAGGAACCTGGTAGCTTTTCAGTATTTTTATAGATTTATGGGTTCTATGATTAATGAAGTCCATGTGAAATTACATTACAAAGGGTTAGAGAGAAGGATAAAGAGATTACATGTACTTCAGTTTTTTGTGGATGCATACTTGCAGAAAATCCCTTGCGATCCAAAAGAAGCAGACACTTGAGTGATGAACAGAATAAAGGCAAAACAGCAACATTATAGCCGAGCTCTCCAGGGATTAGCACCTATTCTGGTTGTGGTATTTCTACGTGAAACACCTGGGTTCAGACTATTAATGTCTACAGTGCAGCCGCATTCCTGATTTAACCCGAAGGGAGAATAACTACTAGGAAAAGCTAATGTATTTTACAGTAAAACAAAGAGGGAGGGTTGTAACCTTTATTTTTCTTGCAATAACTCCCAGAAATATCAGTGACACGCACAAGAAGAAAACTGTTTGATGCATTTGCTTCCATTAAAAGCAAATCTTGAAGCTCAGACTGAGACCGTGATGGATGAAATTCTACACCAAGACAATAAGTTGCTTTCCTTTCAGGTCAAACATTCCCTTGTGCATTCATTGTTTCTCAGCAGCCTCTCCCCCACTTTCTTACTGCCTGCGCAAAGAGTACATTTCCTACAACAGCTCGCTGTTTGCGTGTGTGTGTGTGTGTGTGGCGCATGTGGGGTGTGTAGAGGAAATGCTTCTGCCTTTCAGTAGCCTTATGTCTAAATTTAGAGTACCGCGGCTGTCAGAGGCCAGCTCGGACTGCTGGCCGCTCAGGAAAGAGACTCGAAGCATGTTAAAAGTCGGGGACAAATTGTGTAAAGCTGGGCTGTGCTCAGCTGAGAATAACACATTTGCTCCTTGCACGTCCTGATAAACAAGAGGATCTAAAAATATCCCCAAACAGCCAGGAGAGTTTCAGGAAGTGTAAATGCAATGGTGAACAATGTTAAATGGGAAGACAAGTTGGGTCATCTATCATAACACAAGATCATTTATGAGAAACAAAAGATGTAATCATCTAAGAGTCATTCTTAGGTCATAGATGAGGTTGAGATTACGTTTACTGTAGTCATATGTAGAAAAAGAAAGCAAAAGGCCAACAATGCAAATCCAAACATGCAAGGAACCAATTCGTGTATCTTTTTCAAATCTGTTTACAGGCAGTGCATTGTTCGTGTCTTTTTGATTATGAGATGTGCGCCTATGTCTGTCTGGAGAGCAGCACCTCCTTTGTTGACTCAATTCCTGACAGACCCCTGTCGCCCCCCTCTGTGGCTCGTTTGCCCTCTAATGTGATTCGGTTGGGCCAAAAGGAGATGATAGCAGCAAAGAGTCACAGTCGGTTTGCCTCTGGGCTTTCCTTTAATGGGTTTTGGTGTACAACCAGGGACAAAACTCTGCTTTTTCCATCAGTATCATTTTTGTATTTTAAATCAACATTTTGCCCAAATAATGCTGAAAACAAAATTGACAGAGAACTCAAATGAAATATGGAAAAGTCTGGATGCAAAATAAATGATCAGTTTTAAAAATCATAGGTCTGGGTAAGTATGGAAGAAGAAAACAGTTTGAAGAAAAAAATACTTCTACATTTTATTTGTTTCTGCCATGAGCACTGCACCTCATCGGCTACCCCTTAATCTGGTTTTTAATGCTCTCTTTAAAACTAAGTGAATATTTGGGTATATATTCAATTGGTGCTGGTTGCATATGCGTGAATTGGAGCAGCATGGTCTGCTCTAAGTTTCTGCTTGAATTTAAATAAGAAGCTGCTGGTTGTCTATGGGATAAATAAATGCATGTCTATCAGTGTCTACTTTGCAAATTGTGAGTTGTAAAAGAATTGAGAAAAGTCTTTAGGAACTGAACTGTAACTTGATTGTATGTGGAAGACAAAATTGCGCTCTACTGAAACCATCAGTATCATCAAAGACATAAATCACATTTGTCTTTATGAAATTTGGATTTGTGCAGTGAAAATAGGTGAGCTGAAATAAGTAAAAAATCAAATCAAATCAAACAAACCTGAATTTGAGCTATTTTGCAAAACTCTACAAACTCTGTGAGATATTACAACCACAAACTATTAATATTGAGTCAGGCACTGCTGCTCGTCTTTTGGGATTATATACATATATATTAAAAAACCTAAAAGACTGATTTGTTTAATTCAAATTAACTTAGAAATCAAAATTTGATGCACCACCACTGAGTGAACTCAGTGGTGCATAGTGGGCATGAGTGAATATATTTGTTGTAATATACACATATATTAAAACACATATATATGTTTAATATCTCCTAGGAAAAATTAGGAGGGTTAAGACGCTTGAATCTTTATAAATAATGTTTGCAAGACTGAGACATTGACAAAAATGGCATCAGGAGGAGATAGGACACAAATTAGTCAGCAGTTATAGTTTTAAAAAGTCATATTATATTATATTATATTATATTATATTATATTATATTATATTATATTATATTATATTATATTATATTATATTATATTATATTATATTTCTAAACCCAAAGTAGGAAATATTCACTTTGCAAGATTCCCCATCCTCTGCTGCCCTCTAGTGGTTTCAATTAGAAGCTTCACTTCCTGTCGAGGTCGCCATTCCAGAAAACATGGCGGCCACCAGTAAAACTGCCGTGTTATTGAAAGCTGTGAAGAAAATAACCATTCAGTTCTGTCCATTCGAGTCCAATGTCCGCTCAACAAGGTGAGGAACCTTCGTTCAGCTTTACTGTTGTGTTGTAATGGCGTCGTCTCACAAATGTTGTGTGATAATGGCAGGGTTGTTGTTAGTGAGAAAATAGCAGATACTCACGAAGAGTATCAAGAACCAGGATTTGCCCATCGCTGTTCCAAAGGGTTAAAGAGCTGAAGCTGTCCTTTTTATTAACTGTTTAATGCACCTGCATGTCGCTGCTGGTTCACAGTCAACAGCTCGAAAGCAAAAAATACTTACTGCTCAGCTGTAAAATTCAAGTCATGAAGTAATTTCTCAAAGATAAAGTTTGTCTTTTCAATAGATGTAATAAATAAGTCTAGATTTTTTGTGTAGTTTTTCCACATTAAATTTTATTTCCTTAGTAGTTAAAAAAAGTCTCCTATTACCTGATGGTTTTCTCTAAAACTACTCCAATTAGGCTCAGAGGAAATTGTACGAAACATTCAGGTTTTATTATTATTAATGATTATTCCTCCATTTATGTTTATAATTGTTTTTTTGTTTGTTTGTTTTACAGTTGAGGCCAGTGTTGACCCAGTGTCAGTGCAGCATGTCTGTCATTTATGGGATTGACTTCATTTATTGTTTCCCAACCCTGGTCCTCAAGGCACACTGTCCTACATGTTTCAGAGGTTTCCCTGCTTTAATGTGCCTGATTCAACTGATAGCAGTTCAACAAACGCCCATTAATCGGTCATCAACTGAAATCAGCTGGACTGAAGCCAGGAAATACCTAAAACATGCAGGGCGGTGTGCCTTGAGGACCAGGGTTGGGAAGCATTGATACTGTTAAGGTTTAATGCACCAGAGTAAGAACAGTTTGCACATGCAGTCTTCATGTAGAGGACTCAAAGACCCCGACGCTTGCTTGTCTTTTCAGAGAGTTTCTGGCTCTGGTGGGTTCAGATAAGGCCCGCTCCACCAACATGAACTGTGAGGTGATTTCTGTGGTGAAACACGACAAGTCGGAACCAGTAATCGACGTAACATATGGTAAGAAATCGGGCCATGTGCAGCTTAGCTGTTTTTTCAATGAGTACCTGTTGAATATTAGTAGGATCTGATCTGTTGGCTAATGTTCTACTGCTCAACAGAAGGAACATCATAGGAGATTGAGAGTCTAATAAGTTATGATTATATCATCTAATTATACATAGAATTTAATTAAGTCCAAATTATTCCAAGACAACCCAATCATACAATACAGTTAAAGCAGATTATTCAATGCCATTTGTTTTAAAGTTATCTACGTAACAAAGTCCAGCCTTTTGCATTGACCTTGACTTTGCACCATTGGTTCATCTTGAACAAGCATGTGGTGACAGTGGAGAGGAAACTCTCCCCTTTAAGAGGAAGAGCTAAAAACAAACTGGCCTATTGGGAACAAAAGAAGCAATTAAATGTTATATTTAAAAGGAAGAAGTAAAGTTATTTCATGTATTTCACAGGCAACCAATGCAGAGAAGCTAAAATTTGAGAAATCCTTGCTGATCTTCATCAGAACTCTCGCTGCAGCATTTTGGATCACAATGAAGGCTTCCTACTGACGTAGAGCTGCAGTAGTTCAGCTCCCAAGCAGGGATGAGGATTGCTGCGTGATTGGAGTTGTGATGTAAAATCGGCATGTTGAATACAGTCATATAGAAAAGTGTGTACAGCCAATGAAATGTTCAGTTCTTTTGGAAGAAAATATTGATCCTTGACCTTTTCGATTTATCCTGTAAACAAAGCTCTTATAAACTACAAAAAAACAACAACAAAAACCCATTGTCCTCATTATTATAAAATCAACAAACATATTTTTCTTTGCTAATAAAAAAGTTATTAGGATGTCCTAATCCCTAACAACTAGTGAATCCCTACCCACTTTGTTTGAAAGTGAAAGTCTGGGGAAAGTTGAACAATATTTCTGAAGTCCTGGTCTCTGTCGACATTCTGTCTGGTGGACTTCAGTTTGCCCTTCATGGTAGAGGGTAAATGTTTCCTCTTTGCTCACCTCCCTTGAAAACTGAACTCTTCTGTCTTCCTGGCTGTAGAGGCATGCAACAACCGCATGTTCTATATTTCGTGACGACATTTTATTGCTTTCAGAGACTTCTTTTCAACAACTTTCAGCCTGCTCTCCGTGAGAACTTCCTCGGATTGCCCGTTTTAAACGACCATCTGTTTTCTGTAGTGTGAAGCAGCAGATTTATGCCTGTTTGTAATTGTAGCTGAAGTAGTTGTGAATAAGTTTATGGATGTCCTTATTTATTTCTCACGAGAAATTGTGCTCTTATTATATTTACCGAAAGCTCTTTTTTGATCAGATTTTCTTGTCTGTTTGTACCTGAATTAATATTAAGTATCCAATGAATGTCAGAAAAGACATTCAGACTGTTTCAGGGTATTGTTTTTTTTTGTTTTGTTTTTTTCTCACATGCCTGCATCTGAGTCCAAGGCCTTGTATTAAAAATTCTGAATAGATCCAAGTTTCTACTGCACGGCAGATTAAGAAGACTTAATTTGCCGTCAGTAACAAACACTTCATATACCAACAGTACTTTTTTTTTTGTCATCACGTTTAACCTCATTTAGCTCCTGGTGGTTTGATGAGCGTGAGCTTTAGCACGTTTCTGCCCCACAGTCCACAAATATTTGGCGTAGGTCAGCAGAGTCTCTTTGTGGTGCTTGACGTTTGCTCAGAGTTAACGTTCCCCGTGTTTCACTCCTCACACAGTGCCGCCTCCTCTGAGTCATCTCATTGTGTCTTCTGTATTTTTTTTTTTTTTGGAACCACAGTGGACGGAGAGAGGCTGGTGATGAAGGGGGAAAGGTTGACTTGCCGTGAGATGCTGAGCGCCTTTCAGTCCCGCTGCAAAGACAAGGACCCGCAGACCAAAGCCGGAGCCAAGAAGTGACCACCTGTTTGAATTTGTCTGTATTTATATGTGTGTGTAATCTTGGAAATGTACAATAAAACAGTATGTTTAGCTAAATGTGACTCATTTTGTAAGTTATATAGAATTGCTTAGCACTCGTCGTGAAGTTTGTTTTAACTCAGTACCTCAGATATACTGTTTTGTAAAAGCGACAAACCAATCAGTTAAAATTGTTTTGAGTAACAAAGCTAACATTTTGTTAAGACACAGCTGGACTTTTATAAAATTAACCAAAATAAATAAAAGCAGTCCAAGAGAAACTAACGCAACTATCATAAGCGAGACATAAATATAAGATCAGGTCAACCATTTTCAATAGATTTTTAATATGTTTGCCTTTCATTTGCATGAATGTTCATCCGTTTGCCATTTCATCCACTTGGCTGTCCATCCACTGATGAATTAAACAACAATGAATAACATTTGCCCTGGTGGCGACTTTCACTTCCCACTAAACTTTTCAAACTCATCTTTTTGCTTCTCAATGCGAGAGCTGCTCGCTCACTCCCATTCGTCACCTGCACCTTGTTTTGTTTGATTTCTCCACATCTGTTTTCTGGTGGTCAGTATTGGCCTAATGTGAGTGAGCAGGTATTATTCCTCACTTTAAGATTCTCACGTTATGGGCTCTAGTTTGAACTCACTTCAAATTTAACTTGAATTCATGCTGCAGCATTAAATTATTGCACTGTTGAATTCCTCCAGATTGATTTATATATATATATATATATATATATGTAAATATTCAGATCCTTCTGAGACAGAGTCAAACACAGAACAAACAAAAATAAAATGTTAAAAACCGGATTATTGTAAAAAAAAAAACCCCCAAAAAAACAAAAACTGATTTAATAAGTGAAAGGTTAGGATTATCGGAGGCGGGACTTAAATTATTGAAATATCTGACTTGTGTTGTGACATAGAGGGATGCGATTGGCTTCACGTGCGTTTACGAGAGAGAGAGAGAGAGGGAGAGAGAGAGAGAAAGAGAGAGAGAGAGAGAGAGAAAAGGCGAGCTGGCCCTTTAAAAGCACTTACTGCACGGACCAGAGAAAGTTTACCATTCATTCTGGAGGACAATCGCACCAAAGACCGCGACAATGGTTGACCAGTTTGTGGGAACGTGGAAGATGATTTCCAGCGAGAACTTCGATGACTACATGAAGGCACTGGGTGAGCCCTTTATTAAGTGAAGCAAAGTGGGTTCTCTCTGAATCCCCCTCTCCTCCTTCACATTTCTCCTAACCGTGCTGCAGGTGTGGGCTTCGCCACCCGGCAGGTGGGGAACCGAACCAAACCCAACTTTGTGATGAGCGTGGACGACCAGGGCATGATCTGCATGAAATCCCAGAGCGCCTTCAAAACGACCGAGGTCAAATTCAAGCTGAACGAGCCTTTCGACGAGACGACGGCTGATGACCGGAAAACGAGGGTTGGTTTGTTTGGGTCTTAACGATTTCAACGTTTGGATGTGGAAGGGGTCACAACTTGCAGCTTTTGTCTTTCCTTAAATTTTTATTTTGTATAAATAAAAATTTATACAAAAAAAAAAAAAAAAAAAAAAATATATATATATATATATATATATATATATATAATTTTTATTTTTTTAACTCAATGCTGGAGTTTAAGTGTTCTTCTCCCTCCTGCAGACTGTGGTCAGTCTGGACAACGGTAAGCTCATTCAGAAACAGAGTTGGGATGGTAAAGAAACCAACATCGAAAGGGAGATCTCTGATGGCAAACTCGTGGCGGTAAGTGTGTGTGTTTTCTTTTTTTGAAGCCAATGAAGACCTGCCTTAATACTGCAAACTGCATGGTGTAGAGAAATGATGTCAAATGACTGGAGTTGAGATGGGATTGCTTTTTATATTCTTGGATGATGTGGAAGAACTGAGGGGTCCCTTTTGGAAGTCTTGAGTCACTGAATCTTTAATGCTTTATTTTCTGTTTCCATGTATATTGCGGGCGGGTTTAGCTCAGCTTTTCATTTAGTATTTAACAAGCCCTTATTTTTTTTCTTAAATGCTGAAATGAGAAATTTTTACCACACAATCAGCACAGCAATAGAAATTTGTACTAAGTCTTGTTTTCCCTCACTCTCTTCCTTGGCATCACCTTCTGCATGGCTTTCTAAAGACTCGCTCCAAATAACCTCATCTGCGTTCTCTCCACAGAAATGCATAATGGGAGATGTTGTGGCTGTGAGGACGTACGTGAAGGAGTGACGATGCTGGATGACCGGCTCAGTTCCATGAGCATGCTCCCAAACTGAAATGGCATGTTCTGCTGTCTGTACAATTGTTGCCAAAGTTTGCTTTTTGTATCTTGTTGCCCTCATCTTGATGCCTCCATGGGGTTTTGTTTGAAACTCTTGTGGGGCATTTTGTGAATAAAAGCTTGAGAATTTGTCAAAGGTCTTTTTGTCATTGAATCTTAATCAGGGTCATGTTCAAATATAATTTTTCTGGCTTCCAGATTTATCTAATGACCTGGCTTAAAGTCCAAAGGCAGTGTTTCCACATGCTCAAGGCTTAAGAAACGTTCTAATTTTTCTTTATTTTTTTATTCCCCTCCATTGGTCCTTTAAAGGTCAAAACTTTGAGCCATCCTGAATGGATGCCAGGGAATGTGAACTCATTTTAGATGGGGCGAAGGGGAAAGTTCTTTTTTTTTTTTTTTTTTTTTGAGGCTGAACATTTCCCATTGCTCATTTACTGGCAGCTGTATGGTGCACTAGAGCATTCTGGGTATCCTTCCCTCTCTTGTTTGGAAGTGGCGACAGCCACTTTCCCATGACAGGAAAGGCAAGCCGATGGTACTGATTGAACCTGACGACTAAAACAGCTGAACCTGGACTTGTGGGCCAGCACTCATTTTGGACTATAGACTTTACAGCTGTGGAAGACATGCAATGTTTGACCTTCTGGGAAAGAGGCCAAGTGAACTGGGATGTAACAATTTGGCAAAGGTCAATGTGCTGAAGTTGGTTTACTAAACCCCTGTTTTCCACTCAAAACATTTTATTTCAGGTTAATTATCTTTCCTTGGTTCACAATGATGCAAGTTCATTAACTCTATTGATGTTGCATCCTGCAATTTTCCATTTTCTGTTTTATGAATTTCATCACTGAGGAGAGAGGGAAATTGTTTGGGCATTTAAGGATGGGAGGTTTTTGTCTGGATGAGGTTTTACTAATGAATATACATAAAAACTCCAAACTTCACAGCAAATACTTTAAACTACCCAAATAGGTCTAGAAATTGAGAAAAAAATGTCTCTTAAATCAGATTTTTCTTTCTAGATATGCTAATGATTTAGACATAATGTCTAATCAATGTTTTCATTCATAAATAAAAAAATGAATTCGACAAATTTTTCAATCTAACTCGAGATGCATTTTATGTGTTTTAAAACAAAACAAATGTGGGGGGGAAAAAAACCTGAGCAAAGCTGTTATCTCTTAATTCATTTAAAAATACAGTCCAAAAGGATTTCACTTAATTTTATGCTGCATAGATTTTTCTTGCAGCAGAAAATTTGTATTTCAAAACTCTAGTTAAGAAGTTGTAACCCTTGTATCTCTTCTATTGTGGAGATAGAATAGATTGTCTTAGGTCAAAGGATGTCAATGTGTTGAAATGGCTCAAAGTCTAGACCTAAATTCAATTGAGAATCTGTAGCAGGACTTGAAAAGGAAGTTCACCGACCGGTCCTTCACAACACTTGAACTTCTTTTTAAAATAAACGAGCAAAAATTTCAGTCTCTAGATGTAAGATGGTAACAGAGATCTTTGCCAAACAAGCTGGAGCTGTATTTGTAGCTAAATGTGCAAAAAGTTTAAAATTCATGTATCATTTTTCTTTTTTTTCTTTTGAAATGAAAAATCTATAGGAGATCCATGAGATTAATGTATTTTTTTTTTCTAACCATTTTTTGAGATATAAATGTGACATTGTGCCGTTGCTCACTCCAAGGGACTTTTCTAACTTCCTCCCTGTGCAACAAGAAGCTCTGTTGTTTTGAATGTAATGACCAACAAATACTGCACAGAGTTAAACAGTAGAATCTGGACAAACAAAACCCAAGCATGGAAATAACGTAAGACTCCAGTTTTAGAATGTGAAAGGCATATCATGTTATGCAATGATTTCATTTCTTTTCATAGTTATTTTTCCTCCAGCCTGATATGATTCTTTAATGGTGCCATCCCATAATTACAACTCTCCTAACCCTACTGCTGACCAGCTGCATGTTCTGCATGCCCTTTGTTGTTCATTGCTTTACATGTCAGAAAACGGATTGAGTAGTTTGCCTTCCCAGTGGACCAGTTTAAGAAGGTAACTCCTTTAACTAATATTATCTCTAAAGGTTCAAGAATAATGGATCGTAATCTTTTATTCTCTGCTTTTATCTTGATTTGATTGCTGTTCATGAGGTAAGAGTTGTTCTGTGTGCACAATCTGAAAGCCCAAAGGCACATCTGCTATGTATTGACTTACAGGTGCACTGCTTGAAAGTCAACAAGGCGTCCCTGTGTCTCTGTTTGGACAACTGCGGGGGAGCAGGGCGGATCTCCACCTCGAAGTCTGTTTTTCCCAGACATCTTCCACCGCTGTTAACAAGGCTTTTCCCAATCAGCTGGAGGCAGGCAGCGTTCGAAAACATTCATTCTTCATTAAAGTGCAAGAGTCGAGCAACACAACACAGAAACACATTACTGAAATGGAAGATGAAGGATGAGAGATGAACGCTTCCCCCAAGTCATGTCAGCAAACGTGGGGAACAAAAAGTGTTCTGGTCAGATAAAGCCAAAACCTTTTGGCTTTTATGTAAAACAAAACTGGGAAACATGGTGGAGGCAAATTCATGCTCTGGGGATGCTTTTCTTCATAAGGGACAGAAAAGCTGCTCATAGCTAATAGGAAGATGAATGTGACCCTCAACAAACTTCTTTGTTGAGGGTGTAACCCTTGTATCTCTTCTATTGTGGAGATAGAATAGATTGTCTTAGGTCAAAGGATGTCAATGTGTTAAAATGGCTCAAAGTCTAGA